GCGGACTCAACTTCTGCGCTTTCTTGATGGTCAAGGATTGTTGGGGATCGTCGACGGCAATACTCCATGTCCACCGGAGGTGTCGCCGGTTGCTGCGTCGGCTGATGGGGCGGTCACCACGGTTCCCGCTCCCTCGTCCGCCGCTTGTGTCGCATGGTTTCATCAGAATAAGGCCGTGTTTTCTCTGCTTATTTCCTCTCTTTCCGAGGAGATGATTCACATAGTGGTAGGGCGGACGTCTTCTCGGCAGCTTTAGTTGTCGACCGAGCAAACCCTACGGTCGACGACTCGGGCCCGTGCTCTCCGGTTGGTTGGTGAGCTGCAGGCGTTGCGACAGGGTGACGCTTCCATTCCCAATTACCTCGATCGTGCCCAAGTTCTCATCGAAGACTTGGCATTTTCCGGTCGTCCGGTGACCCTTAAAGACCAAAACATGTATATCTTCCACGACATCCGATCAGAGTACTGGCCCCTGGTGGCGTCACTGACGAGAGGGGCTCTGGTGTCATTGAGCGAGCTGTCGGATTTCCTGGTCTCTCAGGCGTTCATCTGTGCAGACGACGATGGCGGTGGGGTTGCTGCTGCTCCGGTGGCTATGGCGGTTTAGTGAGGCGGTTGCTCTGGTGGGCAGCGCGGTCGTAATAACTGCAGTCGTCGTGGACGGGGTCGCAGCCGTGGTCGAGGTGGTGCCGTCAGCTGTCAAATCTGCGGTGTTGTTGGTCACTCTGCCGCCACCTGCTTTCGGCGCTATGATGGTGCTCCCGGGCCGAGGGCCAACGTCGCCTATTCGGTGGATGATGCGGCTTCTATTGGTTCTCAACAGTGGTTCCCTGGCCTTGGTGCGTCCAATCACGCCACTCCGAACCCATCCTTGACGTCCTCCGCTGCCTCGTATTCTGGTCTGGACAACCTACGAGTTGGTGACGGTAAATGTTGCCGAGGGCCAACCTCCGTTGCCGCCGTCTCACTGGTGTGACAATTTAGGGGTTAAAGGTAGAAATAAGGAAAGGGGTTAAAGGGTATTGGAAATTACCATTCTATCCACGCTTTTAACCATGGTCCATGTGAAATTTGACCGGAGGGGCAAATTGACAACGATTTAAAGAACTGGAGGACCCAATTGACTGAAATTGACATTGAGGGACCACATTGCAGATCGGGAAACAATTGAGGGACCAAATGTGCGATTTTCCCTTATTATTATTATTATTATTATTATTATTATTATTATTATTATTATTATTATTATTATTATTATTATTATTATTATTATTTATTATTATTATTATTATTATTATTATTATTATTATTATTATTATTATTATTATTAATTATTATTATTATTATTATTATTATTATTATTATTATTATTATTATTATTATTATTATTATTATTATTATTATTATTATTATTTATTATTATTATTATTATTATTATTATTATTATTATTATTATTATTATTATTATTATTATTATTATTATTATTATTATTATTATTATTATTATTATTATTATTATTATTATTATTATTATTATTATTATTATTATTATTATTATTATTATTATTATTATTATTATTATTATTATTATTATTATTATTATTATTATTATTATTATTATTATTATTATTATTGTTGTTATTGTTGTTATTGTTGTTATTGTTGTTATTGTTGTTATTGTTGTTATTGTTGTTATTGTTGTTATTGTTGTTATTGTTGTTATTGTTGTTATTGTTGTTATTGTTGTTATTGTTGTTATTGTTGTTATTGTTGTTATTGTTGTTATTGTTGTTATTGTTGTTATTGTTGTTATTGTTGTTATTGTTGTTATTGTTGTTATTGTTGTTATTGTTGTTATTGTTGTTATTGTTGTTATTGTTGTTATTATTGTTATTATTGTTATTATTGTTATTATTATTATTATTATTATTATTATTATTATTATTATTATTATTATTATTATTATTATTATTATTATTATTATTATTATTATTATTATTATTATTATTATTATTATTATTATTATTATTATTATTATTATTATTATTATTATTATTATTGAGAAGATATATGATGGATGCATGTGCATGGTAACAATAGTTGAAAAGATAATGGAAGTTATAACTGCGAGAGTATGTTTGTCCAAAATATTGTATAGTATAACTTTTATAACATAATGTATAAAAAAACGTAAAAGAAGAACGCACATAAATGAAAGGTATAACAATTATTCACACTTATAATGTTTTTTTTTGATATATATATATATATATATATATATATATATATATATATATATATATATATATATATATATGTGTGTGTGTGTGTGTGTGTGTGTGTGTGTGTGTGTGTGTGTGTGTTTTGATGATGTTAAGGGTGTCCCTGCAATGTCTTGGCAGCCAAAAAAGGATGACTATACGATCTCTCAACCCAATTTGATATAGGGTTGAATAATTTGATAATTATATAGGTTTAAGTTCCAGTGCGGGTGAATGCTTCCCATGCGGTTGATTAATGTGCGTGAGTTTTGTACTTTATGTGTGTGTCTTGTGCTAAAAATGTGTGAGGTTTGTGCTTAATGTGTTGGGTCATTCATCTCGCTTAAATCAACGTTCAGGATTATCAATTTTTCTTTTAAAAAAAATAACGCGGTGGCAATTTTGTAATTTTTGCATCTAGGTCAAAATTAAGGTGAGCGGTGCTGTGATTAATGTTCGTTAGTTTTGAATATAAGATGCGCGAGTCTTGTGCGTAAGGTGCGTGAGTTATGTGCTTAATGTGCGTGTGGTTGTGCTTAATGTGAGTAGTTGTTAAAACTTAAAGTGTGGACTTTTGTGCTTAATGTGCGTGAGATTTGTTCTTAATGTGAGTGTAGTTTGTGCTTAATGTGCATAGGGTTTGTGCTTAATGTGTGTGAGGTTAGTGATTAATGTCAGTAGTTGTTGAAACTTAAGGTCTGTGAGTTAATACTTAAAGTGCGTGGGTTTTGTGCTTAATGTGCGTGGATTTTGTACTTAATGTGCGTGAGTTTATGCTTAATGTGAGACATTTTAAAATATTAAGTGTGTGAGTTTTGTGCTCAAAGTACTTTGTTCTGTACTTAATGTGCTTGTGTTTTGTACTTAAGGTGTCTGATTTGTATTCTTTAAGGTGATTTGTTTGTGGACTTAAGGTGCGTGGTGATTTGTGTATTTAAGATTCGCCATGTAAATGATTAAGGTGCGTTAGTGCATCCGACCGCACAACCACACGGGAAGCCATCTCCACACCTGAACCCTTTCATATATATATATATATATATATATATATATATATATATAACGAAAATAGAGATTTATAATTTTAAGAAAAAAAATCCAATCGCAAACTAGTACGAAATTAGCTTGTTTGAATTTATTTATATAAAATAAATAAAAAAAAAAGAATTTTATAAATTAGAATATAAATAAAACGGACAATAGTTGAGCAATTTGTTCTTTTACGAAAGTAGCAACATCTCACATCTTCAAAACCATTAACAATGGTATAAAAACCAATTTGTAACACATGGCCGTCATAATCTATTTATAAAATTCAAGCTCCTTCTAAAAGCTTCTTATATATATATAATGATGCAAATTCACTCCTCAAACGAATATGAGACAAGCATGTTACAAGCATTTCTACCTTTATTTTTTAACACAAATGAGTCTATTAGAGAATTAATTTTTCATTTACACATTATCCATTGTGATCCATTGTGAGTATGAAATATATCGATTTTTTCGTCTCACTAAAAAGAATCTGAATTCACATTAATCCAATTCAAATTAAATTAAGAGTGAACTCCACACATATTTATACCATTAAAATACTATTTTACGCTAAGAATTCCAACATTTGAGTCACTGCAGGGCTATGGGAAGAATATTCTTTGATCAACGACCCGCAACAAAGCACGCCTAGCCTAGTGAGGGGCAGAGCGCAAATTGTGCTGTGGACTTTGTCTCGCTGTTAACGGCGTTATTCATTTGTAGCAGTATGAATGTACAGTTATGGAATTATTAATGTTCAGTTATGAAATTATGAATGTATAGTTACGAAATTATGAACAGGAACAAATTGCACTTTTGGTCCTGTGAGTATTAGGGTATTGACAATTTGAGTACGTGATTTTCAAAACTCTCAATTTAAACATTTAACTATGCAATTATTGGCAGATTTGGTCCTCCGGGCCAAATTGCCGGCCAATTTTGACCGGAAAAACATAAATTGATTCAAATTGTTTTTTTGACGAGGGTAAAATTGTCATTTCACTCCCTTCTTCTTCATTCCCCCTTTCTTCTTCGTTCTTCTTCTTAAGGCTACTGGCAGCATACCATTTCACGTTTGATATAGTTATCATCTCAACATTAAGTTGGTTCAAGCGTGCATTTATTCTTTGAGTGATTCTTGCTAATTATGGCTTCCTTATTTGGTTCAGTTTATAAGGTGAAATATTTTCAGCATGAGGGAAACTGAACGGAAGCAAGTTCAAAAGACTAATCAAATAAAGCGTGCTTCAAAGCCTGATAAAAAAGGTCAGAAATCACAAGAGAAGAATGGTGGCAGAATATTGAAAGGGAAAGAAACAGATAAAGCCACATCTCCTACAAACTCCCGTACTTTAGTAAGTGATCCGAACACGGGCCCTGAACCCCCTGAAGTTTATGAAAATATGGTTATACACTATGTGGATGATGCCAATAGATCTGGTGATACAATTCAAGATTCAAAAGCAGTTAAAATGGTTGAGAAGGAGAGTAAGAATAAACTAGAGGGAGAATGAAGAAGAAAGGGAGAATGAAGAAGAAAGGAGTGAAATGACAATTTTACCCTCGTTAAAAAACAATTTGAACCAATTTATGTTTTTCCGGCCAAAATTAGCCGGCAATTTGGCCGGAGGACCAAATCTGCCAATAATTGCATAGTTAAAGGTTTAAATTGGGAGTTTTGAAAGTCACGTACTCAAATTGTCAGTACCCTAATACTCACATGATCAAAAGTGCAATTTGTTCTTATGAACAGAGAGCTCTGACATTATGAATTTACAATTATGAACATATAGTGATAAAATTATGAACATAGAGCTCTAAAAGTATGAACGTAGAGTTTCGAAAATTATGAATGTACAGTTATAGAATTATGAATGTACAGTTATGTAATTATGAATGTACAGTTATAGAATTATGAACATAGAGCTGACATTATGAACTTACAATATGAACATATAGTGATAAAATTATGAATATAGAGTTTCGAAAATTATGAATTTACAGTTATTGAATTATGAATGTACAGTTACGGAATTATGAATGTACAGTTATGGAAGTATGAATGTACAGTTATGGAGTTATGAACACAGAACTCTGACATTATGAACTTATAATTATGAACATATAGTGATAAAATTATGAATATATACTTCTATAACGAAGCGGTCTGAAATATTTAAAAAAAAAAAAAAAAAAAAAAGTAGAAGATAACGGTGTCACTAACATCACCTTTAGTGTATCCACAATACATGCTGGAAATGGGTCCATAACGATTGGGGGTGAAGGTCATTGAAATAGGGTGGAGGTCATTGAAATAGTCAAATACAAAAAGACAAGTTTGGTTATAATATAATCGAACACCGTACCCGTTAGTATCGGCACTATAGGACAGCATTGATTATCTTACTATTTATTATTATCGATCAAAACGCATGATTAAGTTGTCACTCATATTACCGCTATTAATTATTGTTTGTAATTGTTCCGTTTTATAAAATACAATTAATAAATTAAACACAATTGAGATATATGGATTAAATTCAATAAAATACTCCGTACTATAGTATATGGATATCACAAATACTTTGACTCCGAAGAGAAGTTAGTGTTGAATTTGCAGCAAATAATGTGTATTGAAATATGCCAATTACCATGTAGTGTGATAGCATCCAGATTATCCATTCAATTGGATGTTTAAAAGTTCGAACTTCAATGGTGAGGACTTCGATTCCTTGAGCTGAAAATGTTTGAAAAATATCCTTATAAAGAAAAGAACTGTGTATTGGAATATATAATTTGAATTATTCTGAACCCAGAAAGCAGATCAAAAAAATGCATTTGTTTGCGCCGAGTCCAGAAAGAGAGAGAGAGAGAGAGAGAAAGTCAGAGCTTTGAATTATTCGGAACCCAGACAGCAGATTAATAAAATGCATTTGTTTACTCCGAATCCAGAAAGGGAGAGAGAGACAAGGTTCCAAGACTTCCAAGACTAGTTTTATTTTTTTTCTTTCTTTTTTCTTTCCCCCATCTTCTCTTTCCTAATCACTCTTATATTATCCTCCAATTATCCCCAACCAATGTGGATGCTCTTATAATGCCAATTTCTCTCTGCTCAGAAGAAGTGCGAGCACTCATAGAGATGGGTTCAGTTTCAGTTAATCAGCAGGTGCAGGAGGATAATGTTGCTAAGAGCAAGCTCGAATGGACACCTGAACTCCATTCAAATTTTATGAGAGTCGTCATTAATTTAGGCGGCACTGAAAGTAAGCTTTTCTTTGTTTCTTTGATTGTTATGGATGGTCTACTATACTTTCATTAAAAGAATAAATACAAACTACTAACCTTTAATTTTCTTTTTTAATAACAATGTAACATTATTTTCTTACTTGCAGAAGCCAAGCCCAAAAAAATTCTGAATGCCATGAATGTGCCTGGATTAACAAGGCTACATGTTTCCAGCCATTTGCAGGTAATTCACCAGATCAGATTATTATGTCGTCAGATCATTAAAAAACAATGCATGATGAGGTATCCTAATTAATTATGAATTATATTTGAAATGTGTATAATAATATGATCTAACGTAAGATTGTTCTTTCTGGAATAGTAGTACTGTACTCCTATTTAATACTACATACTATTACAATATATATAATTTGATTGAGCGAGTGTGATTATATTGCAGAAAGTTCGAGGATTCATGAAAAGTGGAGGACATAAAAGGACCAACAGACTTGCCAAAAATCATCAACACTTTATCCAACGCCAACTAGACCCCCCTCCTGCTAGTAGCCACCATGCTACTTCATATAACAGAGGGTGTGAAAACCTGAAGGGTGGCGCCGACTACTTTGTTCCAGACAATTCTGATCTTCTCGCCGCCGCCGGTGACTTAAGCTTCACCTTCGAAACTGAAGGCATCGCCGGCGAGAATGAGTATTCATCGTACCCTTATCAAGAAAATTATTTTTTTGCGGGTCTTGGCCCAACCTGGAACCACTTCGGCTTCAGCACTGCTGGACAAGAGAATTATCCGATGATGCCGCCGTTCTCTGCGTACGCCACTAATCAAGAAACTGATGTCATGACGCAGTTTGTGCCGCCAACACCTCTGCCCTGCCCAACTCAGGCATTACCTATCTCTTAACTTTTCATGTCTTTTATTTTTTTAATAATGAATTTCAGGTTATACGTTAAACATTTGATCAAAGCTCAAATTTCATAATAATATAGTAATATTTATTATTTTGATTTTGATTTTGTTGTAGCTTGACGGCCAGTATGACTTTGTGGGTTCTGCGTTTAATGTGCATCAACGAGCTGGAAATGGTTATTGGTGAATTTGCATCTACATATAAGATCTATTCTACCATTGGATTTGTGTACTTTAGATTGTTTTTTATTTACGGAAACTCAGCTATCTCTACTTGAATAATGTAAGTTTTGAATGAATTCCGTCTTATATGCTTCTAGGTTGTCAAATGATCAAGGTAAACATGTTTAGGTTGTTGATACTCAAATTGAAAATGTCACTAAATAACTCTTACCCAGAATGTGACTTGAAATTGTGTGATTACTAAGTCAATTATTTGATCAATTTAATTGAGTTTTCCCTTCTTTGGATTATTTTGGCTCTTACGTGGATGTTTTTGTAAGAATTTTTTTAACTTAATTAATTGTCTCAAACTATATATATATATCGACCTACATTTTCTCGCACATGTCCAACGAAGATTTGGTTATATGTTGTGCGATGGCCTTTGTTGGAAAAAAGTCACCAAACACCGCATATATTAGGATTGTATCTTGGATTGTTACTGTTTTTGTATAACACTATAAGACTTTTTATTGCAGTGTGTGAAATGGATTAGATATATAGGGTAGGATTACATGATAATTACAATTACTTATTAGCGAAAGCATAATTAAATATTACAAAATCCACAATCGTAATTACAAATAAAAAAATACATAAATTAACAAGAGATATACAGAGGTATATGCAGTCGCAGCCACTCACACCCCAAGACTCCAGCTCAGCACAATGCTTGTTAGGAGCAGTCAATGTCACGTGCTTGTAGCCATGCTAGTATATTAATTCTTTTTCCTTTCTCTTCTGGAACTTGCAACATTCTCTTAATGAAGTTTTCTGCACCTTCTCCTTCATTGTTACTGAGTTGCTCACATATGCATGTTAGATTCGCAAAATAAATACAAAATCAAACATTACAAAATGCATAATGTAATTATAAAAGTAAATACATAAATGTATATTTTCAAATATACAATTAGGTAATTTTTACGATCGTTTTTATTTGATCTCAATCATTTAATTATATATAAATCATTTAATTATATATATATAATATTTCAACTATATATATATATATATATATATATATATATATATATATATATATATATTTTATTATAAGGAAGGGGGATACCCTACATATACACACTATTACCTCAATTGATATTCGAATCTTACACCTCCCACAAGCCACTTGATTTTCAACTATATATATGAAAAGTGCAATTCTCCCCGTCATTAAGGGTACATAAATAATTAAATACTCATCAATAAATAATAATTATTGCTTATCATTGATATTCATGCTACGCAGTCAAATTAAGAGAATAAAAGAAAAAAATGTTCAAATTAGCTACCAAGTAAAACCCTTTTTGGTCTTTTTTCTTCTCTTATATTTTTATTAATTCTTTTCCGCAACTCTTCACCACCCAGCAACTCCTTAAATTTTTAACTCCAATCGCCCATTTATAAATAAATGACATCCTTTATCCTTACCAATTAAAAACTTTTTTCTTTTGTTTTAATTTAATATATATCTCATATATATATATATATATATATATATATATTATAAAAACAATTTTTTATATAATAAATTAAATATATATCATATATTTAATTATATAAAAACAATATAATAATCACATCATTTAAATATTATGGAAATATCCTTTTTAGTCTTTTTACATTTATCAGCTTATCAAAAAGTTAATTTTACCAAACACTTTTAAGCATAATCTTAATAGCTATTCAGTTTTCAACTTCTAGCTTATAGCTTTTCAGCTTTTCAGCTTTCAACTAGTTTTGCCAAAAAATGAAAGATTTGAGTAAATGAGATGGAGTATTTAGTTGAATGCTAAATACTATGGCTATGCCCTGTTGTGGAGTGGTTAGGGTGATCCTACCACTATGGTTGATAACTTGTATTGTGGAGTACTCGGCAGGAACATATATACCTCGTGTACTAGGACATTGATTGTTTGTTGGATGATGAGTGGTTAGGAAATTCCTACCAGTAGGGTCTAAGAATCCTGTATTACGGAGTAGTCAGTA